TATACCTGCTGCTGTAACCTACACCCCTGCGCTCCATACCTGCTGAGGCTCCTACTGACACACCTGCTGAGGCACCTAGGCACACACCTGCTGAGGCACCTAGTGACACACCTGCTGAGGCACCTAGTGACGCACCTGCTGAGAATCCTACTGACGCACCTGTTGAGAATCCTACATCCCTGAACTGCACATCCGCTGAGGATTCTACTAACAGACCTGCCTGAGGCTCCTTGTGACTCAACTGGCAAAGGCACCTAGATACACACCTGTTGGATGCCAACCTACTAACACACCAGTTGATGACATTCCACCACCCTCCTCCGGGAAGGATGGAGGGACAGTATTTGGTGAAGCTCATGGCCCCATGGAATGTGATATACTACCAGAAGTTTATATAGCTACCAGGTCGTTGTAATAATAATATAGCGAGTAATATTAGATGTAGCAGAAGTGGTTAGTAAAAGTAAAGTAGTAACATCAGCAGGCGTAGAAGTAGCATTAAGCAAACAGTAAGTAGTGAGCAGCAGCAGCAGAAGTAGTAGCAAAGCAATAGTAGCAGTAGTAGCAGCATTTGTAACTGTAGTTGCAGTAGTTAGAATCAATAGTAGATAGTATTATAAGTAGTAGTAGTAGCAGTAGCATAAGTAGTTTATTTAGTAGTTGCAATATAGGTATCAATCGTAGTATAGAATAGCAATATGTAGTATGGTAGCAGCAGCAGTAGTAGTAGAGTAGTGAGCAACATAAGTATGCAATATTAGTATTTAGTAGTAGTAGCAGTAGTTAGTAGTAGAAGTAGTAGTTAGCAGTAGTAGTTAGTTGCAGTAGTAGTAGTAGTAGTTGATGTATGACTGTTTGCCGTAGTAGTAGTAGTAGTAGTTTTATTGTAGTAGTAGTAATAGCAATAGTAGTAAAGTAGGCAACAGAAGTAGCATTAGTAAGTAAGTAGTATTGTTGCAGTAGTAGTAAGTTGTTGTTGTTGTTGTTTTCAGTAGGGCAGTAGTAGTAGTAGTAGTGTATGTAGTTATTGAAGTATAGAAGATATTGCCATTAGTAGTAATGAGCAATAGGTAGTAGTAGTGTAATAGTTGTTTTGTTGTTGTAGTAATAGTGGTAATATAAGACTGACTTTTCTGGGTTATCCTGGGTAAGGGTAACTTACACTATTATAGATTATTGTACCTAAGTGTACCTTGTACATCAAATATACTTACTTATTATCCATACATACATACACACACAATACTTGGCCAGGTACGGCTGGCTGGTGGACGTTGTTACTGTGTTCTCATACAACCTGGTAGCAGCCGCTACGATTAAGAGTTTCGGTATATAATACATCTTCATCTTGGAACACCCTGCCTGAAACTACAGCAGTCTCAGCTGGCTGGATCCGTGGGGTCCTGCTGGTATGGATGCAGAGGTCTGCTCTGTGCGTACCACTCTCTCTGACCTACGGTTTATTTAGAGCTCTTCCCATTTCTTCACTGGCACAAGTGGTGGCGTACTTGAAGTAACCAAGAAAATACACAGCCAAACCCCCCACCAAGAACTCAGGAACCACTCATCCCTCCCCCCCCGGTCCAGAATGTTGCTCTCAAGGTCCACTCATACCCGTTCCTCCCCCCCGGTCTGACGCTTGGCTCTCATACCCTTCCCCTCCCCCCGGTCTGAAACATGCTC